TGTCGTGAAAGCGCGAGCTTCGCGCGACGGCCGCGGTGTCGTAAAAGACCCGCAAGGACGGCGGCGAGAGGCGGCTGAGGGAGGTCCCGGCGTCGCCGGCTGAGGAAAGGCCCGGCGCCGCTGCCTGAGGAAAGGTGCGGGGCGCCGGCGACCCCGGGTCCGCGCGGCGGGGGGCTGTTTCCGCGCGGCGCCCCCCCGCCCGGTGGGTTGGGCTGCAGCCCCCATCACTCCCGGCCGGGGCTGCGCCAGTGTGTGATGGGAGTGGTAGTGCGAGTCACTGGGCGCGCGGGCGCTGCGAGGGAGGGGCTCCCCTTTCCAGCCCCCCCCGTGCATGGGGCCGAAGGGGGCTCGTGCCAGCCTCCGGGAAACAGCTCGGAAAGGGGGGACGAGGGGGTGCGTCCTTGGGGCGGCGCCGGCCGGGCCCTTCCGCCCTCGTCCATGGGGAGCGCGTGTGCGAGCGAGGGAAGGGGTGTGTTTGGGTTGCCCCCCCACAGCTTTTGGGGTGAAAATGGACCCTCCGGAAGAAACGAGGCCTCTGCCTGTTCTTAGAGCAGACTCGACTTGCTTGAATAATGCCACAGCTGTGCCGGGGCTGAATCCTCTCCCCTTGTTGGTTCCGTGTTTATGCTGAATATCATATCAAAGGAAGCTGGATTGGAGGAAGAGGAGCCTGGAGGAAGGAAGATGAATAACCTGCGCTGTGCTGATGCAGGGAGGATCGATACTGAAGCTCAAGCTCAGAGACTTTGGTCGCCTAATGCGAAGAGAGGACTCTTTGGAAAGGACCCTGATGCTGGGAAAGATGGAAGGCAAAAGGAGAAGAGGACGGCAGAGGATGAGATGGTTAGAGAGCATCACTGAAGCAACGAGCATAGAGGACGGCAGAGGATGAGATGGTTAGAGAGCATCACTGAAGCAACGAGCATAGAGGACGGCAGAGGATGAGATGGTTAGAGAGCATCACTGAAGCAACGAGCATGAAACTCAGGGAGGCAGCGAAGGACAGGAAGGCCTGGCGCGATGTGGCTCATGGGTACACGACTTAACGACTGAACAACAACAAATGCTGATGCCACTGCCCTGATAGCTGAAAACGCAGAGGATCTGCAAGCT